GGGGTGGGGCATGTTAACGTTCGCTGGCACTTACGTCATGAAGTTGATGCTACGTTGGGGATGGGGGTGGGGTGGGGTGGGGCATGTTAACGTTCGCTGGCACTTACGTCATGAAGTTGATGCTACGTTGGGGATGGGGGTGGGGTGGGGTGGTGGGGCATGTTAACGTTCGCCGGCACTTACGTCATGAAGTTGATGCTCAAATTGTGGATACGAACACTTGCCGCACTTGTGGAAGCAAAGGTGACCGGACGTTCTGGGTCATCCATTTTCACCTGAAAAGAATATATAATAATAATTCATTGTAAAAACCAACACAAACAACTAGGAGCTTCTCGGTATTAGTAGCTTCTTGTTCCTAGTAGCAATGGCCTCCAACTTAGTATCTAGCCGCTAGTACTGCCAGGAGCTACTACTAGCTTCTCCAGCCGAATATAGAGGTAATCTGATCGGAATTGGAGTCATCAGTCCGAACCTCCCTCGCAAACGAGGTGAACCAGGTCATGAACCAGGTCACCTGTGGTGTCGAACTGTGGAGTCGATTCTTCTAAAGTTACCCCCAAGTTCGGTGATTGGAAAAGGAGCCTCCATCTGTTCAGAACATCTTGGGGTCTGCGCCATCTACTCTGAAACTGTAGTAGTTGGAATGTGACTCACACAGTTGGTAAGGGGTGACTTGCAGGCCCTCTCATTGAGAAGAAAGAGTGTTTCAAGCTCAAAAAGCCTCACCCGCCAATTCCAGGATTCCAGCATGGAAAACCCAATGAGACGACGATGACACTCGCCAGGTCATTTCTTGGCAACGCCTTTCTCGGGCACGAACAGGTGCACTACGGAATTTTGCTTCGGTCAGTCTGTATCGACATACCATCCAGTTGGATGGTTCAGGTGCTGTTGTGACTTTTTTGTTTCAGGCCTTTCTTGGTGTCCAGCCACTCCTGGAAGTAGGCTATAGCCATAGCACGTGTCAATTCCAGTAAAGTATAGTCCAGCTGCCTGACACCTTGTCACCACTAGTTTGTCTTCTTAAAGGCTCACTTAGAACCTTGACACACACACACAAACACTTCTGAATAGACTAATTTATAACTTCTAAACCGGCAGCTTGTGGACTTATATTTTGCAGCTTCTTCAATTCGTGATCAAATTGATTCGACTCGATCTCGGCTCATCCAAACAGTCTGTCACCACTATAAGGGTGTGTATTCTCTTAGGGAGACCCGAAAAAACCAATGGGTAGACTGGTCTATTTCCCTTCTTCCTGGGGGTCGAACTGGGAGGTCTCCCTATTTTGATACTTTGATACACACCCACAAAAACCCAAAAACCAGTGAACTTGGAAGTTGAATGAAGTTGTTTGGGAGCTGCATAAATTCACATTTGAGCATGGTAAACCAACAACACGGGCCTCAAAACATGCGAAATTATCGCCTTTCCAACATAGCCGTTAGGCATCTACCTGATATTTGCTCCAGTTCTAGTACTTGGTCACCCAATGATCCCAATCCCTCCAAACACCGGACGGACCGACGACCGTTCCGGACGTCGGACGGAGAATACGTCGGTCCTCTTGCACACTTTGCAGCACCGGCGAGAGATGTCCCGCCCTCGGTGGTGACAAAAGGCGTCTGTTCTCAGGGCGTTGAGAGGCCGCGTCGGGAGGTTGTAGGCTATCGCGACTAGAAACAAAGAACAGGAAAAGGAAGAAAGACATGATAAAATCAGTTGACACATGTTTTCTGATTTTGCACAGACGCCGTTCACCCGTCCTTACTCCTTCAATCACTGTGGGAGAAACATGCTTATTGCAGTGAATGTATGTTGATGTGTGGAAATGGGACATATGAACATCTGAAAAGTGTGCATCACGATCCTGCTCTTGTTGACACATCGCTTGCACTACAACCGTTGAGGTGGGCATCTTTGAGGATCTTGTTCTGACCATTCCCAAGCACTCTGAACACCTGTTGCAGCAACAACATATCTGCCATATCGAAGCTGGGCTGTGAACAGGGCCAGTGAGGGCCCCTACCTTCGCAAAGGGGCCCCTAATTACTGACCCAACATGCTTTTCGACCCACACACACACACACCTCTGAGCGATCGCGTGATGTGCCTGCACCAATGCTTGGTGGATACACCTATCATCAACCTATAGCCTGAGTATACGCAGGCTGGTCGATTTGTTGAGCAGGGAGGTTCGGTCACCAAACGAAGTTTGAACACATCATTTGACATCCGGTGTGCGTGTGTGCGCGTGTGTGTGTGTGTGTGTGTGTGTGTGTCAACTCCTGTTGACATAGCGACAACGTGGAAGTCATGACTGATATAGCTCTTGCGAGCATGGATCTCAGTGTGTAAAAGACTATGTTCATGAACGCCGCTCATGCATCTCATCCAAGCCTTTTTTAAATATGGTTTGCTTGTTCAGTGCTGCCTTTCTTCACATTGTCCTTGAGAATGCAAGTGAGAATAGCTCGAATCCATCACCGGTCGCCCTTTCACTCTTCCTGCTTAACCAAGAAGAAACATCACCTGGTCACCTTCCCGGTTAAGCCAACGCCTCTCAAAGCGACAAATCCAGCAGACTCGGTCTATAGGCAAACTACCCCACCGTATTCCACCCAGTTGCTGTGCATTCAGCACTGCCAGAGGTGGCGGTCGCGGTGTGCCCGGGGAGATTGTTGCACTGGGTGTTCCTGGTAGGTCGAAGGACTTTGCTTTACCCCATGTTCTGACCGGGTTTCATCTGGTAACATCTGCTTCACCGGTCTTCGGGTTTCGGGTTTCATCTGAACCCTTTGTCTTCGAAAACTGTCTCAGTCTGCGAAACCCGATTCGGATCTCCGAACCCATCCCTTTTGGTTCACACAACGTTGGGCGTTGAATCCAAAACCACTAACATGAACAAGTCTCCAGCAAACCTGCAACAGCCAAAAAGACATCGCAGTCACTGCAGCTAAGTCTATCGACATTGACAGGGGGTAATTGCCGTAATCGTTTTGTTTTTGTGTACATTATTCTGTCTGGATGGCTTCTTTCCGGAGTCCCGATGACCGCTTCGTTGCAGGGATTTTGAGGCCTTCCCTGGACGGACAGGGTGACTCGATAACTGGTAGCTGGTGGCCAATCTAGAGCCTTGTGGTTGACCTTGGACAACCATCTTCTTTCACTTAAAACAACCAGAACGTTTTCTACCAAAACGATGTTGGTTGGAGGCAGGAGATGCACTCTGCAATGCACTGTGGGCAAGCCACCAATCGAATGCTCATGAGCTTGGAAAAAATGAAGCTTCCACGACAAAAGTGTCACCCACAAAGCCCGATATCTTGGGGGTCATCCTTCCTACTACTTCGGCCATGATGACGAGCTCAAGCCAAAGCACAATCCAACACACCTGAAGTTGAGGACAAAGTCTTCTTGAAGGTCTTGGGCAACCAAGCCGCTGGCCAAATGTGTACGTGTACTACACGGAGGAGGGGTTTGGTTGATGTGTCCTCTTCCGGTTAGACACTCCTATCGATTCGAAAAAACTCCTACCCACTCTATCCCTGCCGCTGCCTGGACGTTTTCGCTTCGAAGGGCGTCCAGGCGCTGGAGTCCCCGGAGCTGGTTCAAAGGGCAAGGCTGGAAGATCCTGCGAAGGCGGAGGCCATGCACAGAACCGCTGGGAGGCAAACCTCCACCTCTGGGGCAGCGTGGTTCGCACAGAAACAGCATCATAATACACTCCCTGAAACAATCATGGAAGTGGAACAGTTCGGCCCCTGGAAGACCAATTGTCCTCTAGAAGGAGGGTCTGCTCAGCTTCCATGATTGTTTGAGGGAGGGTACATCCAACGCTTCGTTGAAAGATCTGACCCCAAAGGTTGCTGGCAGCGTCACCCAGTTTCAACATCTGGTGTCTCCGGAACTGGCATCTTTCAGACATATTCAATCGCAGTGGGTGCGGGGGTCAATGTATATATTATTATATAGTATACTAAATTACAAATATATGATATATAGGTCGAGTATTCCATACATGGAGCGTTCGAGTGTCCTTGGTCTTTTGTTTTCAGCAACGTCACTGAACCACAACCTGACCTGGACCCAACCTCATGCAGGTTTGACAGCTAGGCTGTAAGAGGGAGTTGGATGACTCTTGCAACTACAAAAAGGATCCTACCGAAAGTGTCATCTACAATACTTAAAGGTAAAAACGCAAAGATAGACAAAATAACACAGCGAACCCAAAGCTGATCTTGTCACAACTAACAGCACTTCTGCCTAACAGTTGTGAAAAAAGGAAGCTGTCATGAATTGTCAGGATATGTCTGGGTTGCTGGAGGATCTCCGGCTGGAAATAAAACCATCGAGGCAGGGACTTGCTGCCGTGCAGCTAGCGGGCTAAGACTCTCAGTTTGCTGAGCAATGGCAACAAAATAGACTTGCTGCAGTCATTGGCACTTGGTAGGCCATGGTTTGACCATGTGCAATGGTGCGGATGGGGTCCAGGTGCTCCTCGAAAAATCCTTGTCATCTGGATTGGCGTTTGGGGGCAACTCTGGAAGACGAAAACAAAGGAATTACAATCCATTTCTTCCGGACAAGGTTTGTTCCACCTTCAACATACCACAGAAATTCCAAATGGACAAGGTGTTCCACCTGCAAATGTCCACACAGAGCGTTGTATCATGTTGTATCTACAAGCGGTTACCAGGTACCAATATGTACGGATCGTTGGTTTCATCCAGTACATCCTGCTCCACTAATGTCAAAAATCAAGGCTACAAGGTTTTTCCATGTTCGTATGGCGTGCGTTCCTTTATGAATGGGTTAGTGTGGATGTGACCACCGCACTGGCGCAAAGACCCGGACAATTGGGACTCAGAGTGCTCTCTTAGGAGCAGCTCATAATACCTTTTCGAGTGTAAGATTTCAGAAGAGCCTCTATGAAACTGGGGTATTTTTACACAACGGAAGAAGGGTCGGATAAAATACAAAGCCAAATAAAGCCGCTGGAACGTCCTCCAAACAACCGCTTTTCGACGAACTTGGTCCCTCTCCTCTGCACTCTTGAGCGCTGGGGCGGTTGGAAAGGTCCTCTGCGCCTGTGGTGCCAAAGGTGAGCTGGTGGCAGGGGTGGCTTTGACCAGTGTATATCAAAGCAAGTAAACCCTTCAAAGACTTGGAATAAACATAAATGGATATATAGAACATAATAGAACAGACATTAGAACATAATTATGTAATATATGAAGATATATATATGTTTGTTGCTTGGGGATGCTTGAGGTGTTGTTACTGACACCGACTAACGCAACGGTAGCCAACTCCTCACAGTCATAGTTCAACTTGTTGGAGGCCCCCGTCCGCAATTCATGTTGCAGCCAGCGTCAGTCTTCCGAAACTGTTGGCGGACCAAAACAGGACCAACTATAGACGCCCCGCTCAAATGATCTACTCATCGAAAAGCGACCATGCAACCAAGACCAAAATAGGTTCATGACTTTCTAGGATTCTAAGAGCGCCCAGCGCCGGTCCCAGTCCAACCAACCACGTGCTCGACCGTCCTAACCGCCCAGGCCTCCGTGAGTGCGGGGGGAGGCACCACCATGTCGACACAGGTACCCAGCAAAGTGAAGCCGGAGGTGTCACCTGGACTCATCCAGGATCGAGTCCAGCGTCGATGGTGCGCGAGTCCGGCTTTTACCAGGGCCAGGGCTGGCTGGGAGAAGGTGAACATGGAATACAAAAAACAATTGCCAGGCCACAAGCACTTTTACAAAACAAAAATAGACACACACAAACACATACACATAACAAAAACATCTTAACTTCACACTCCATTGTTTCTCGATGTTTACAAATGATCCCCTCAACGGTTGTTGCTGCGAACTACAAGGTGACCCAACGGGGCTGACCCGTTGACCCCCTAAATCTGGTCCCGCCCCAGCTGACTGAAGCTGACTGAAGCTGACCAGCGGTTGGCGTGGCTCCTCCCTCGTGTAGAATCTTAGAGATAACCTCCCTGCCATTTGCTCATAACTGGGGATTTATTCATAAAGATTCTACAGTGAACAGTTTTGAGAACGGAGCCATGGTCCAAAACGGAGGGGCCATCTCCAAGTGTCACGGCCGTCGGCATTGCCGTCGGCCAAAGGCCCTAAGGTGCAACTTGAAGATCTGGCGATTTCATCTACTGACTTCAGTGGCTGACCAGCATCTGCCGAAAACGGTGCTTGGAGACTTGTAAACATGATGCTTGGAGACTGGACTGTGCCAGTGTATGGTATGTAATGTGTGAGTTATTGTCTGTCTCATGAGAGCATCACAAGGGCCAGTCACTATTTCAAGCCAATGAAGCCCTGCAGTGCCCTGCAGGAAGCACAGGATCTTGGCCAAAATGGCCACAATGGACATTCATCTCACATAAGAATGCCCGGCAGAAGATCAATCCATGAACCTGCAGCTTGTACTTCTTCTACTGCATAAACCATCACCCACTTCGCGCACATCCAAGCTTGTGCATCAAATACTGGCACCACATGCCCCATCCTCTTCATATCTTGATTTTGGTGGCCATTCGGTCGGCCTCCCTCTTCCACTTCCCTGCAACAATGGCATTCGCGGAAGTAACACATCTTTTCACTGCGGACTCCAGGCCGAAAAAGGCTGTGCCCTTGGCTATCTTCAGCCCATCACGCATCTGGATCTCAATCAAAGTCCAAACGTCAGGTCTGTGCATCGCGCCGTCGACCGGTGTGTGCCTCAAAAACATTGCCACGACGAACAAGTGCCGTGCAAAGAGCCTCACGACGCAGAACTAGAGTCCTATAGCCTCGTATAGGATCCTATATAGGAATTCATTCATCTATACATCAAGAAATGCAAGTTCAACAAAAAACAGCAAAACACCTTGTCTGCATCTGCGCTTGTTGGGGAAGATAAAACATGAACCAACACTGCTTGGTATTTGGTATCCATCCGGATCCTGAAAGGAAAAACTTCCTCATCCGGCCATCTGATCTACGATGATCTATGGCTCGGTGTTCGCCGCACGGCGCCTTCATCCTTGGGATAGCTCGAGAAGACCACTGAGACGTCTGGCGCCTGTCGGGAGACAGGTCTCACCCCGGTCACCGCATGTCTCGCCATGTCTCGCTTCGTGTCTCGGTGGCAATGAGAATGTTGCTTAAAGCGGTTGAACACGTGAGCTACGGCCCAAACCTGGTCTCGTGAGCTCACAGATCATATAACTCAAATTAGAATCCTTACACGTGCTCCACCGGCCATTTTGGTTATGAACAACGTTGTCAACTGGGCAGGGATTTGTGGTTACAACAGGGCGAAAGCCGCGAACCGAAGCCGCAAAAGGGGTGAGCAGCGCAGCTCTTACTTCTTGGAGCAGACACATCAGCCCAAATTTCCAGGGAAGTCATGAGGAAATGGCCAATGCCCTATCAAACATTGATGTTCACTTCTTAAGGACTCACCCTTGAAAAACATGTCCAGAATTGTCCTACTGCTTGACACAACAAATTCCCGATTGTTTTCTGCGAGAGTTGAGTTCAAATCTTTTGTGAGACACCACTGAAGGGCAGCACAGGCCAGTTGGGAGCCCGGAAGCCTGAATTGGAGGGATCTCCAAGGACAACCCAAATCTACTCAGGGCAGGAACTCCTGCTTTGCCTTCAGTCAAAGCAAAACAAGAACTCTGTTGTAGGCTCTGGGGAATAAGCTCAAGCATGCTCAAGCAACCAAAGGAACAGCCGCGTCTGTCAAAAACACCAAGAACATGTGTGTTTCAGGGCTAAGTATGGGGGTGATCCACCCCGAAATCTATTTAAAGTCCCTATAGAAGCGATCCTAAGCGTGCGTCTGAACAAGCCTGCAATTTGCGCCTCTCTTCGAAAACCGATCGCGGGACATCACTGGTTCTGCCGATGGTGTAGTTGGCAAAAACGGAGTGTCATCCACATGCTAACACAGGTTGTGAAACAGAACTTTCTTCCCTATTCTGCATATTAACTCTCCTCTACACTTCTAAACCACCCCTATGTATACTAGCATATAGCTAAATATTCCACCAGTCCCATTGACTTCCCATGGACTTCTGTGGAGTTCGCATTGAATGTGCGAGTCCCCATCGATGGATTGGCCTCCCCACCTCCAAATGCACTTGCTCTGGGGGTCCAAGGCCCTCCTGCATAGGCTTCCAAAGGCTTCACAAAGGTAACTGTTCTAAATACCCGGCGTCTGTATTACTTCCGTATGACTGATGATGGTATACCTGAGAATTGGGAAGCGCCCCCCGAAACCTGAGATGTGGCAAATAAAACCATTGGTGACCCAGAATGAACCGGAAGACGCAAATGAAATGGCTGGACCAGGACGAGGATATAAATATGCTACAAATCAAGAACTGGAGCCTGGAACATCCTGGAACCAGGATTTTGCCTGATTTCCACCTGGTTCCTGGTAATTAGTAAGGCCAGGAGCTACGTTCGTAGCTTCTTGCCCCCCTTCGCAGCGATGCCCTAACTACTAGTAGCAAAAGTGGTAACCATGGTCATCGGATTCTCTTCTTAGCAAAAGTGCTTCCCAGTTCGTCCATCTGGACGTCGGTCGGCCGAAGGTTCCAATGACCGAACGGTCCAAAGCACCGCAGTCTGTGGTCCAAACGGAGGAGGCAAGTGAACTTGCCTGGTCCAAGCTTCACTCATCAAGAAACTACTGGGATCTTCCCTGAACAACTGTTTGCTAAGTTGGTGAGAACTTTGGAGATCTTTGGCTTTGCCTCAGGTCCATGTGTCTGAGATGTTGTCAAAAGGTACCTGTTGTGTTGAAGGTGTTTCTCACACCAGCAATCTTGGCACAAACCCGCACATCAGGTGGACACCCGACCAATCAGCACTCTACCAATCTGCACTCCACCAATCTCCTCCAGTCCCACTTGGCCAGAAACGAGTCTCGACAAGGACGAGCCCGCCGGCACAGGCTCCGACCTTCTCCTGCATCTCCAGGAGACGCCTACCGGCGGTTTCGCAGGCGGATGCTCCGGCGGAGCAGGTGGAGCATCAAAACATGGACCATTCCTCACAGTTGTTCTGAACGGGTAGTGAGACCTGGTGGCCCTCCTGGTGACCCTCTCAAGCAAAAAAAACGCATGATCCTTGGCAGTGTCACGGATTTGGTCATACATCTTGGCACAATTTCTTCCACAAATAGACAGACTCATCCAAGATGGTTCCGACGCCACACCCAGTCCATGCGGACCCTGGTACCTTAAACGTCGTTTGATCAGCAGGTCTAGTCTGGTCCGGGAACTAGATTGAGCCTTTGTCGATGACTGTTTTCGGCTTTTCAGGCTTCTCTAGATTCTTCCACTTTCTTGTTGCTTCCTAACCAATTGACATGGAAACATGGAAGCAAAGAATGTCCATCTCGTGTGTGGTTGCTTGTATCACTGTCCATCTGTGCCAATGGGAAGCTGGGAAGCTCATTATTCCTGTGCCAAACTTCCAAGAGAGCTTGCAGGAAGTTCCGCATTATGTAGAGCAAAGTTCCGCTGGAATAAGAAGTGGTCCGGGTTAAGCAGCTAAGTACTCCATGTATTCACCCCACCAACAACCACCGTTGACGAGGATGGCAGTGATCTATCTTCGGCTAAGATGATGGTTCAGAATGTTTCATCGCCTCGGGATAGTTACATCAAACACTGAAGAAGCAGTATGTTTCACCATCTCAGGTACAACTGCAACATTCCATTGGAAATTTGACCTGAACAGTTCAAAAGTGCTTTTATCCACGAAAGACACAAAAACACATATATTAGAGGTGAGATTCAAGCAGTATCACCCTTCTTGAGTTCTGACACCTCAAGAGTTTGTCAAAGCGGGTAAGAAGTTGCAAAGGCTCAAACCACATGAATCAAATATGTTGCTTGGAAATCACACCAGTATCATGGGCGATGTTAAACCAGAAACAATCAAACGATCAAGTAATAAATTGAAGAAAACAAAACATATGAACTATTGTAAAGTTATGCTTCACCACCAACGGTGGAACAACCACTCCACATCACGCTATCCGAACTCCTTTGGAGGAAACATGCAACCTGGATTATCGAGCCCGTTTTCGTCAACAAACTTATTTGTTTGAAAACCCATGGTTTGCAAATGCCATCTTCTTGAAGGAGGTTCTTTAGGATTTCTTTTGAAAGGAAGGCACTTCAACCAACCAAGTGAACCCCCACCAAACCCATCCAAAATGCCCCAACCAACGACTTGTCGCCTCGCCAGCACGCTTCGCCAGCGTTCCGCCAGCGCCAGCAGTGTGGCTGCCGGTAGGTCGGACACGTCGCAAAGCTAGCGGAGCAAGCAACCGCGCAGGTCGGGTCCGGGGGTGACCGTTGTTCTTTTAAAGCTGCATCACTGCATCATCTATTTATGGTCTTTTTGAAGTACACCCGGGAAGATTAACATGGACCCAGTGATTTTCAGGTTCCATGTTCATCAGTTAATCTTCCAGGGCGTATTGTAGGTCATAACATCCTGTTTCAGATTCTCATCATCCGCGCCTGCAGTGTAGTCTCCACCACCTGTGTGTAGGTGTACTTCAACTGACCCAGCGAAGCCGACGACATGGCGAGTTTCGCTGCGAAACGCCGCCAATGAGGCGGGCAGACTGGAGATCTTATGAAATCCGACTTCACAGGAAGAGCTGAGGAAAGTCTCACCACTCAATGAACTGGAGGCGAAACAATACTTCAATGGTGGGCCCTATGGGCCTAACGAACTGCTGTAGTGCACTGTTGTTGTGCTGTTTTGGGAGCGCTGGAAGATACATATATATATATAAATAACATATCTGCCATACCACATTAACTTGGTATGCCCACCAGCCACACCTGTTGCTCAGTTGTCCACCAGCACTACCCAGATTTGCTTACTACAGCTTCCCATCTGTGAGTACTTGTCAACTTTGTATTTCTGTTTAACTATGTATAATGCGTAGTTGATCGTAGTTGCCATCTGCTTGGGCACAAGGGCGCAACTTGCAGTTGTTGCAGGACCAAGTGTCACACAAACTACTAAGAAAAAGGACTGCTATCCTTTGTGTTTCATTGCCAATAGTAGCAGTTCGAAGCTGAAGTTCTGAAATTCTCACCAAACACAAAGGATTTCATGTGGTTTTATGCGCCCGAAAGACTTAAACAACCTGAAGCTCCAAACAAATGCGACAGCCCCGGTTCTTCGTGTTCTATTCGGAAAAGGCTATGTCGATGTGATACACTTCAGAAAGGACCCCTCAAACACTCAGACAATGAGCTCCCAGCACTTGGGGGGGATAGAGAGGTCAAGTGAGTGTCACCCAACTGCACAGAACACCCAACTTGCGCACCCCGGAATCATCCAATGGTGCTTTGTTCATGAGCCCTTGTCAAAGTCATAAATCTCACCACATTCCAAGAGATGTCGCAGGTCGTCTTGCAGAGCCTACATCTCATCAATCCTTGAGACCCCATTCACCCTTCTGCCCGGTCATCCCGTCAGTCTGCATGGTCCTCATATTCCTCATCGACTTCATCTGTTGCGGTTGACCCATGCCGTGAGCTGTAACCGGAAAATCCCAGCCCCGAGACGGTGCTTTTGTTTCATCCTGTTCCACATCTCTTTCGCTGCAACTCCCAGCCTTCACGGCAACTTGTGCACTGGTCTGAGATTCGATTCGCGCGTCCAGCCGATGGCGAAAGAGCGGCCTAGCTCTCTGACCCCAATGATCTCTCTCAACGGGGCACAGGCCCTTGTGCCAAGAAACGCAGCACTCACTGCGGATTCGAAGTGGTTCAGCTCAGAATCTTCAACGCGAAATCTTGGTACTATGACCCGTGAGTTTCTTCAAATGTATTTCTGAGACAAATGAGAATTGTGAAGTTGTCTGGTGATTTAGTGCTAGAGCCTGAGGAATGGTAGACGGTCCATGCTTTTTGGTCATCTCTAGATTGGTCGTCGACATGATGGGAAGTTCCAAACATTGTTGGCCTTGCCAGCTGGGTGTGACGACAGGTGTACTGTAAGTAGATGTCTGACATATGTGCAAAGATAACACAAATACAGGCAGGTGTTTCTTATCAAACAACTGACAGTTGGTCTTCCCCGGAACTGGGAGCAAAGGCGACAAATGAGTTTGCAAGGCCAAATAGGCCAGGAGAATATGGATACTGCTCCAACCCGATTCCATAGGAGCTGCGAGATCAATCATCCTCGCTCTAGCGAGATCCCCAACAAGAAACCCACATCAATCCTCACAACGTCACACGACCATGGCTGGGCCTGCACCTAGTAGCTTCTTGGTAACTAGTAGCGATAAATCATCACAACATCACATGACCCTCGTTTTCATTCGAAGGAAAACGGCCCTCTCGCGAAGGGGCCCGGTGCACCCCCCCAGTTCGTTGAAGCCGTACGTCGGATGAAGGTGCTGTGGATCCACAGCACGTAGCTCAGCCCGTGTTGTGGTCGGGTGATCGTAAACATGGGTTTCCGGACTGGAAAGCGAGCCCAGCACTTTGAGAATCATGGACAGTTCAAAACTAAATAGATTCAATCTCTTGACACAAGCACAGTGAGATTTGTTTGGCATTCTTGGACACAATCTTGTGACATCTGCCAAGTGTCTTAGCGACTTGGCCCAATGTCGAAGGCCTCACTCAGACGGCAGGTGGTGTGCCGGAGTTCTCCCACCGAGAAGCAATGTCCGTCCCTTGCAAAAATGGAAAGCAAAACAGTTCAAGTCGCAATAGGTGCCTGAAATATCTTGAAATGCTTATTGGTCCTATGGGTTGGAGTAATTTTGAACTACAGTATATTAACCTACCTGGAAGGAAGGCTCGCATAAACTTACTGTATTGGCCAAATCGAGGAGAGTCCTCTCTTACTTCGCAGAACTCATGTGCTTGTTCCCCAGCTTGCGACATTGCATTGATGGTTGATGTTACTTTCATGGCTGTTTTGTGAAGCATCAAGCCAACCTGTTTTGCGAGAATCCTGCAACGGTGTAAACCTATTTTGTCCGTGTAATGTGTAATAAGCCTATGCGCGCCTACAGTATATTGCAGAATGAGAACGAATCAACAAAAACAACTGTCAACTGTACTGGGTCTTGAAGCCGCTAATGGTATGCAATTCTAATGTCTACAACTTAAACTCTTAAGAAGGTCTCCTCAGTTTCTATGAGGATTCCCTTTATTAATCAGTTTAGTTGCGGACCTGCAGGATCCTTTCTCTGGTGCCAGTCTTCCATGATTTCTTCAAGGTAGGATCTGTATGTATGCATAAATATATATGCATATAGATGTATATACATATATATGCATTATATATACATGTACAAACATCATCTATTACCCTGAGGCCCTAATTTGGGAGCACTGGGCCCTTCTCTTCGAAGGCGGTGGGCAGTTCTGATTTGTGTCGGCTCCGTCGCTTTCGGCATTTCACCTCCTCGTCACGGTGGCCATGGAGCAATTTCATTGTCCTTTCGCGGAGACCACATATGGATACAGCCGGGATTTCGATCGGATTGTGAGCCATCAAAAAGAATATCTGGACATCCATGCTGAAGTTGATAGAGTATGAAGCAAAAGCAGGACCAGTCTCATAATATAGTGTTTTGGACTTTCCTATATATATATATACATATTCTACCTACTCCAGGATGACTATAATATATACCTGGGTCTCCACAGACCTTCCTTTTTGAATGCCTTTCAATAAAGCTGCGTTCTTGATGTCAAATCCTGCCTTTTCATGAAAAGGGCGTACTTTGCCATAGGGGCGTACTTTCAATGAAGGTCAACAAACCCTTGATCAACACAAGATGTTACCCTCAAAGTTGGTAGTGATGAAGGGGTAACCAACCTCCACTTCTGCCATCCTCCCCGCAGAAGGGCTGCAAGGGCTGCCCTTTTTTTGTTCCGGGCTGGCATCGATCTTCGATCCAGCATGCCAGGGGCCTCAGCCCGGCGGTTAGCAGGGATCTCTGGATGAAGTGAGCAAAGGGGAGTAAGAAGTAAGCATTTAACCTAAAGAAACAGAAACCCAATGATGGATTGATTGGATCAAGTGGCCAATCCAATCATGTTCACAAACTTCACTCCAGGAATCTTTTCCTCAAACAACCACAAACCAAAAAAAGGGAGAAGTGTAGGGTTGGTTTTGGTGGATTGTTGTATCCTTTCTCTTTCTCTTCCAAGAATACTCAACAGAATCTAAAGACCAATGACCTTGATTGGCTCATTCGGGGCTCAGCAACAACCAATTGTGCATGTTCTTTTCCAGTGCTTTTTTGTGGCTTACTGCTCACTGATTTTGGTCACGCCGGTCTAGTCTAGTGCAATGGCTGAAGAGAGAAAGGCTAACATTGAAGGCCTTGGTGAAGAGTGGGAGCAAGTGGGCGAGGTTCGCAAAATGCTGCGATCATCGGGTTCCATCTTCAAACCAACAGCCCCAGGGGAGACTGTTTCCATCAATGTCAAGACAGCTTCAGTCAATGTCGATACGCTGCTTCCACTTTTGCAGCGCCTGGCTGATGAAGATGGGAATGTTCACATGGTTACCATTCCAGATCTGGAAGCTGAGCCACTTGGATTTGTCCATCTCTGACTTTTGGCTTTTTCACTAGTGTTGGTGTGGGCGTAGCACCTCTCAAACCCTTTCATGTCTCTCATCTCTCTAAGGCTGTGCCGACTTCATAGCCTGGTTGAGAAACCAGTGGACAAGGATTCGGTGAAGTTGGATGCATGGGTGGCAAAGAAGATGTGCATCCTGGTGAAGCGCAAGCTGCAGCGTGGCCAAGTTCCAAGGGAGCCTCGCTTCCGCTCTTTGATGTCGGCAGTCTTCCCTCAGCTGGACTGGGCTAACTCCAGCATACAAGAACCTTTTTCAACTAGAGTCGAATAGAGTATACAACTAAAGTAGTGGACAACCAGCCCTTTCCTTGTGGCCACCTGTGACCTGTCCATCACCTATGCAGGATGATGGAGATGAGCCAGCGCTGAAGCCTTTGGAGGATGGAAGGCCTGCGGAAAGCATAGTGGCTGCTGATACAAATGGGGATGAAGGCGCAGCTGGTGCTGCTGCATCTGCTCATGGTGGTGACTCTCTCGATGCTTTGATCATTCTTGACGATGACGATGACTTGGACTTGGAGGAGGAGGGTGGCAATGCAGCTGAGATGGGTACTGTTGCTCTGCCGCCAGCAGACTCCCAGCCGCTTTTTGAATGTGCCTCTACTGAACAACTGGCTCTGCGAGATGCTCTTGGCAAGCGTGCCTGAAGCAGAGTTGAACCCACAGCCTGAGGATGAACTCCAGCGGATGAGGGAACTGCAAGGGCATGTGAACAAGCTTCGCAAGCAGCGCTCAGCTCTGAAACTGGGTCGTTCAAATTACTGTAGCATGTTTGCACTTCTTTCCCTCACACCCTCCAAATATGGGGTCCCAGGACTTTGAATTTGTGATCACTTGTGGCATGCCCAGGATTGCTAGGCGTCCACACCTTGGCAGTCGGTCAATGAGCAGTGGCTCTCTGCAGGGCGTGATTGAAGTTGAGGAATCACTTCCCTTTGGCAGGGATGATATGGAAACATTGCCCATGACTCTGACAGAATCCGCCCTTCCTCCCTCTAAGGAGCACAAGTTCATGGA